ATGCAAGTCCCCCAAGTCATCTGTGGCGACTTCAAAGCTCAGAACCATCTATGGGGTTACCACTTCACATCGCCACATGGCTTACAGATGGTAGAACTAATACACTCCCAGAATTTAATACTCCACAACAACTCTGATGACTGACTGACTTTTGAAACAATTAACGGTAAAAAGGTTGGCCAGACCTTCTACTTACAACCCACCATCTGATCAATAGCATCACCAATAGAAAAATCAGTGATGACCACTCCAATTCTGATCATCACTACATCACCTTCGAAGTCAACATGGAAATTGAACAAATCCATACAATGCGCTTCAAAATCAATCAACAAACGGAGAAGAAATTCACCAAATCTCTAAGAAGGATCGCCAACAACATTCTGCAAGAACTCACCACATGCAACTCCAAAGATAAAATCAATGCAAGCGCAGAAAACACCACGCGACAAATCCAAGAACTTTGTCAAAATACACTAAAAATAAAAAAGGCCAACCAGTCTACAAGAGCCAACTGGTGGACAAAAGACCTGCGAGCTGCAAGACAAAAAACAAGAGCCCTCAGAAGACGTATGAAAACGCGCACCACAGAGGAAAGAGAAAAATCAGCATGGATTGAGTATAATAAACAACGGGCAGTATACAAGAAAATGATAATTACAGCTAAATTACAATCATGGAGCAAATACTGCACTGCCAATCAAGACACCTATGGCACCCTCTATAAAATGGCCACATCAAAAATATTTAGACCTACGCAAATACATGCCACCCATCAAATCCAACAAAATAACAATGCAGATACCACGCTGGACACCCTCAATGCAATAATGGATGAAGTCTTCCTTAAAGATGACAGCAATCAAGACACCCCTGAACAAGCACAAATGAGAGCTAACGACAATCTCCCCTCCACCCCTGACGACATCCCATTTACTAAACATGAATTGAGGCAACACGTCAAATCCTTAAATAATAAGAAAGCCCCTGGCCTTGATAGCATACCGAACAAAATTCTAAAAATCATATGCAGGGAAACTCCAGATCTTCTACTCACCCTCTACAACAAGTGCCTGGAATACAAATGTTTTCCAGACTGCTTTCAAGATCGGTCAAATAGTCTTCTTTTCCAAGAAGAATAGAAACCCAGAGGATCCGCGCTCATACCGTCCGATCAACCTACTACCAGCAATGGGCAAATTACTAGAGCGACTGACAATTACAAGAGTCAAGTATCACCTCTATAAAAATAACAAAATCAGCAAGTATCAGTTCGGATATTCAAACCTCATAGATCCACTACTCACGCAATTGACTCTGCACTCTCAGAGATCTCAAAGAATAAACAACACCAAATGTATTCTGCACTTCTATGCCTGGACCTCCAAAATGCTTTCGACTCTCTCTGGTGGCCAGCCATAAAACAGGCCCTCAGAGAGATTGACTGTCCCAAAAATCTTTACCAATTAATAACTTCTTACCTCGACAATAGGAAAAGCATCGTCATTTACAACAACTCAACCATCTACAGAAATCAATCTAGAGGATGCCCACAAGGATCATGTATGAGTGCGGACCTCTGGAACGTCACCTTCAATCACATTATTGACCACACCTGGCCGGAGCACACCAAAATTGTGGCCTTTGCCGATGATGTTGCTTTTATCGTCAAAGGCTCCACCCGCGACCATCTCCAAGAAAATTGCAACGTTACGCTTGACATCTTCAACCAGCTGTGCCACAGGATTAAACTGCAAATCTCTCACTCTAAAAGCCAAGCCCTGATTATTCACAAGCTTGGACGCTCCATCACCAGATACCCAATTCTGAAAATAGGCAACAACAAAATCAAATGTGTTAAGTCCATTAAATACCTTGGCTTAATTATCGACCATAAGTTCAACTGGATCGAACACCTTCAACAGAAAGAAGAAACTCACCACCGCCAAAAATTGCTCAATCCCTAAAGACTATGAGAGGTTACTCCTGGTGCCTCAACAGCAAAATCATGAAAATTTTAGTCAAAACTATAATCAACAAAATCATCACCTACGCAGCAGCAATATGGGCATTTCCAATGACAGAGCGCGCAAATGAAGATTATTAAATTGAATTCAGCGACCATTCCTACTCAACATAACAAGAGCATATGTCACAACTTCAACAAATGCCCTGCAAGCACTCGCCGAAGTTATTTCCCTACCAATAGAAACTCAAGTAGAAGCAATCTCGACAATAGTATTACAGCTAAGAAAACCAGCAAAATTCTCAGATACCATTTTCCACCCTGATGAATATGAAGAAAAACCCCCAAAATACCAGACACATTCAGCCTTCAAACTCCATAACCTCCACTACAACTCCACAACCTCCTCCTAACACCAATATAACAGTTTTCACAGATGGATCCAAAATTGACAATAAAGTGGGCTGCGCAGCAACAATCTGCATCAACACCAGCACACCTCAATCAGCACCAGCACAAGTTCACTCGGAATGGCAGGGGCACCTGAGATCAAATAACAGTGTCTACCAGGCCGAATTAACCGCTATTCGCCTCGCCATCAACCACCTGCTACGAGACCCAACAGACACCATTCATATCGTGACAGACAGTCAGTCATCTATACAAGCTATTCAAAGCTTCTACACCAACTCACCAATAGCACAGGACATCCAGAAGACCATAAGGACAAGTAATAAGCAGTTCATTCTCTCATGGACCAGAGGCCATAATAATTGCGAAGGTAATGAGAGGGCGGACTTCCTTGCAAAACAGGCAGCACTTGATCAAGTCGGTGACGACAGTATAAACATCCCCTGGCCACAATCGGCATTAAAATCAAAGCTCAAACAACTTGAGACATGGCAGCAAGACTGGGAAAATGGTACAACAGGACGACGTACCTGCAGCTTTATACCGAAGATAGACGATACACGCACAGTATCCAACTATTTCTTGACACAATATATCTCAGGTCATGGCCCTTTCCCTACATATTTCTTGGAAAGAAATTTTACTTCTACTGATTTGTGCGTATGTGGGGAGGGGGAAAGAGGCGACCCTGACCATTATATCTTTCACTGCCCACTAACCGCCAACCTACACGTCAAACACCCTACTCAAGTGGGAATGGAATTTAAATCATCAACCATCAACACACCTACAAAAACATTAAACTAATCATAGACAAGCTACAACAACAAGGTAGAGAACTATGCCACTCATAAATAACAAAATTGACATAATGATGAATACCTAGCAATTGAAGTGCCAACACAGCTGTCCAAAGAATCATGACTGTTTGCTATCCTCCACTGAAGAATGACACCTAATTTGCAGCTTCACCAATTAACTTTCCATGGAAACCATCTAAGGTACTCATATGATTCAAATATGATATTCAACAGGGATATATCACATAAATAATGATGACTTTCCTAAGTCATCATTATTTATGTGAGTGATGATTATCAACTACCAGTACCTTCAAACTGCCAAAGCGCAGTACCAGTACTCTAAGGCTAGTACTAGTAGCAAGCACAGCACCAGACTCTGAAGCTCAGATATATGTACTGTGAACTTTGAACTTTACACTATTATCTGATGCTCATTATACAAAGTGCTCTCCATGCTGCTGCGCACAATTCTGTGCACATTGAACTCTATGCATAATGAACTCTGTGCAAAGTAAACTCTGCGAAATCTGTGCACAATCACACAACGATACCACCAACACAAAAATAACATAGCATTATAACTCACATCACATCCATCTTCCCAAATGCTAAGGTATTCCTCCAAGCACACCAACAAATGTCAAACTGCAACACCTAATTAATTGTAACATGTTATCTGCGTATTGATTCCTGTACACTAATATATCTGTACCTCGATTACCTGTACCCCAGTTCATCTGCATAATTGTTCTTCCTATGTCAATAACTTGTTACTTTAATGTAATTTATTATGTCAACTGAGTAATGTAATGACCTGAAATGTAATCTTTTGAAATAATAAATGCCAGAAAAGGTTAGTGCAGTGGGGCAATACCATTTTTGTCTATGATGATGTTGTGGTGCCCCCTGCACTTTTTCCTGTCCTGTCCTGTAGAGCATAAGCCTTTAAATTTTCGGCTTAATAATTTTAGCCTTTTGTTTTGAGGCAACATAATTCACAAACTTAAAAAATTTCCATTTCAATCACAACTCAGAAGAAGCCTGTGCTGTGTGCTGCGAATAAATCGAAGAAAAATTCTCAGATCTCGGAATTAAAAATTTTCTATAGAAACTGATCTTAAAATCGCCAAAATGTTGATAAATTGCCAAATTTAGAGCAATTTAATAAAAGAATTCACATCCCCAAAAGCGAAAAGTTGTTTAAGAGCTCTTCACTAGAAAAAATGAAATAATTTCGAAATGCTTATGTTTCACTTCTTGCTCAGAAACTTTACCAAACCATTTATATTAGAAATACGAACAAATTATAACCCATGAACGCATTTACCCATTCAAAAGATAATGATATTGTCAGCGAATCATCAAAAATATTCCTCCAAAATGCTAATTCACACTCAGAATGGCAGTCGTAAAAACAGACAGAAATTTCAGATGATTAAAATTAAGAACCTTCTGCCGATTTTGGCCAAAATTAAGGACTTTAAGGACCGTACGAACCCTGTGGTAGTGTAACTTGAAGCATGTTCAGCTAAAATCAGATTATCAGTGCTCCAAATCCCTACAAGACCATAGTTGATTTCTCCCATTCTCTGGTTCCAAAAATCAAATGTCTCTATACTGCATCTGGTTAAAATGTAGTGGGCAATAATCTTCATCACCTGCATTTGACTGAATGATTCTTGTTTCTCTCCCTCAGTCACTCTTTAAGTGTAGGAGAATATAAGACCCCTGTGATTCCTCCTGTAGTGTAACATATCCGGCAAACATTAGAAGGTACATGGTTCAAATCTCAGAAACAGCATAGCTGATTTATCACCTTTCTCATATTGAATACTTACTTATCTAAGCCTTTTGATAATCTCAATTTCAAGTAATATGTGAAATAATTTAATGAGACTTGAATTCCAAATTCATAAGAAAGACTTAAGTAGAACACTACAAAATTAATCAATAATATATTTGTTACTATTAACATAGAAAGGCATGAAATATAAAATGTAACAATACTAACAAAGCCAAATTATGCATTTCTAAAATACTATGGTTTAAGAAGTAAAATCTCAGAAAAAAGATCTCATGATAAAAGCTCACTATTCAGAAATCGAATAAATTATCACTGAGATTATAGATAACTTTACCTCAGGATATTTAGCTAAATAAGCTCTCATAAAATCTCTTAAATCCTCATGGATATCATCAGCTACATCATTACCTAAAATACAAGATATACAATTTGAGATTAAAATTATATCATTATTTATACTTTGAATGCAGTTATTATAAATAAATGCAGTTAATTATTATTTGAATTTTACATTTACATGTGGATAAAACTAATAATCATTGCTTAAAAAAATAGCATGGATTTGAACACTCCATAGTTCAAGAGAGAACATACATATATATATATACAGTCAAAAGTCGTTAATTCGGACACCCATAATCTGGAATGATCTATAATCCGGACCTTCTCCACATGCGGCGCGTTGACGCATGCGCGTAAGACCTTTACGGCTGCGAATATGCGTGAGCGCATGCACACAATACGTTTATGAATGCACGTTTAATGTATAACGGACGGTATAAGCTAAGCTAAAATTATCTAATTCAGTTAATGTTGCAGATTGCGTAGTTCCTTAATCTTCGAATTGGATCCGGCTTATTATTTTTTGCAGACTGTTAGAGCAATTTTATAAAAGTAAGCTTGAACTTTCGATTGTGTCAAATAGAATGTCTGATATATATTTACTAATATGTAAAGTATCTACAAAGCGAAAGTATGTTTCGAAGTCCATTAAACAAAAAGTGGAATTGCTGCAAAAAATGGATAAAGGCATATTCTTTCTTTATCTAACTATTCCGAAATCTGTTTATCAATTTCACGCCGCTCTGTGGCAGGGGGGTGGACACCGGGGTGCGCAATGAATTGGAAGTTGATCTGTCAGCACTATCCTTATCTTCAGGGCAGATGTGTTTTTATTTTATTTGGCTTATAATTCATTACTAAATGTAGTATTTCATCTCGACGTACTACATCTTTGATATGATTTAAATCAAATTCCTCGTCGTTATAATTCACTTCCGATAGCGAAGAAAGTGTCACAGAGGTTATTGAAAACGAAAAAATTTCGATTGACAAATTAGTCGGTATTCTCGACACAGCAATTATAGGACTTGAACAGCGGAACTTGTAACTGAACAAGAAATTATGTCTGTTTATAGAATTAAAGAGAAAGTATTATCACATAAAAAACGAAGCAACTTAAACAAACTTCCATTAAAAGAAATGTTTAATAAAGTAAACAAATAAATATTAAGCTTTTTTTTTTTTGTAAATTTTGATACCCTTTAGATCATAATTGTTCTTTATTTCATAAATTACGGTTTCATATTTTTAATTTTGTAATTTCTGCATGCCATCTTACCAGATTTAAACTAATGATCTATAATCCGGAAAAATCAATAATCCGGAATCGCCGAAGTCCCGACGAGTCCAGATTAATGACTTTTGACTGTATATGATTTTGCAGTAAAACAAATAACAGTGTTTGTTCACATTAATTTTTTCATAGCTCAATAGAGAATATTATGAATATATATATATATACAGTACAAAGTCCGAAATCTGGACGTCTATTATCTGGAATGATCTAAAATCCAGACCTCAAAACCACCAACAACGTTTTCTCATAGGCTTTACGCATATGCATGTGATTCCCCCTCCAGACATAATAAAACATCTGAAGAGTCCCGATTCTTAATTTCACTTTGACACTAAATAAAATACCCTGAACTAAAGAAACAATCACTTTAGCATAAATTTGTACGATCAGTAATTTGGCTCCGTGTTGCTGTATCTGCTTGGCACTCATCTCAAACCGAAATAGTCCACGTAGATACATCGTTGATTTGAAGCCAACCTGGCGAATCATTATTTATAACACTTTCCTTTCATCACTGCATGTTTATCAAAGCATGACAACTTGAATAATGACTCATGTAGCAATACCTAAACAATTTTTTTTATGTTAGTAATGGAATAATGAAGGAGTATAGTAAACTTTTATGTTGACATTACGCTTGGCGATGATTACAAATTTAAGTTCAATGCGCTAAAAATGTTGATGAGAAAAAAATTTATCAAAAATTTATTTTCATATGCTAAAAATAGATTTTGTTAATGATATTCATAGACACAAACATTACATTTAGGGCTATTTGAATTAAGAATAACTGATTATTCACATAAACCCAGAACCAACGCCAGGGCTCGTAATGGCTGCACCAAGTTGCAGAATTTAGAACCCACAGAGAATGCATCAGGTGGTAAGATATCTAATGCCTGCCCTCAATAAGGCTTAAGTATATATGGAAATTTATTTATTCAGAACTCTGATAAGCCTAAAGCTTATTCAAGAAATAGACATAAGTGTAAGAAGTATCTAAACTCAAACATTTCACTTAATTGCTTCAGTTCACGATAGAAGCAAGATAAAATTTAACAGAACAACATGTTGTTAGTCGCCCAGCTCACGATGCATAGCCAAATGTGTATAGTGAAGGATAGCTAAATTTGATGATGATAGCCGCGAATTTTAAAGTTTTTCCGATATCGCAAAACAAAGGTGAAATTTTACAATTAACAAATTTTGTAAAGAAATGTGGAGAAACAGTAATAAATGAAGATGATATGAAAGAAGTTTTTCATTGTGATGACAATGCTCCTCAATCATCAATCAATTAATGAATGGCGAAATCTGTAGTATATTCTAGATCCAGAAAATACTGCTACCGATAGTGAAGAAAGTGACAGAGAAGTCACTGAAAAAGAGAAAATTTCGATTGACAAGCTAGTTGGAATTCTCGAAACAACAGTTACAAGACTTCAACAATGTAACTAAACAAGATATTATATCTGTCTACAGAATTAAAAAGAAGGTGTTATCACAAAAAGTGAAGCAACTTAAATAACTTGCATTGAAAGAAATGTTAAGGTAAACAAAAAAATATTAAGCTTTTTTCTGTAATTTTTGATATATTTTAGATCATAAATACTTCACTATTTCATAAATCATGGTTTCATATTTTTTATTTTATAATTTCTACATGCCATCTTACTAGATTTAAACTGATGATATAATATCCGGAAAAATCTCAAATCCGGAATCGTGTCCGGATTCTGGACTCTGTACTGTATATGATTTTTCAGTAAAACAAATAAGTGTTTTTTGACATTAATTTTTAAACTAACTAAATTGATTTAAATAAATAAAATAAAGTGATCAGTGAAGTATCTTTTTGCATGCTCAGATCAGAAGGATGTTTTATTACTTTTTCACTTATTTATTTACTTATTAGTCCAAAGGGGCTTTGTCCCTGAAGGACTATTGTTTTCTTTTTGTGATTTTGCATTGGTTCCCCATAAATGTCAGTTTCACTTTCAAACTGCTGCCACCAAATGTTAGAGAAATGCATTATATTTGAAGAAATTAAATAATGAAAAATCTGCATAAATGTATGTATATTTCTTGCATTGTGATAAAACAAAGGTACCCAGAGCCATCGAATTTTGAATGACGTATTCTCCTACAAATATGGGCATGTGGAAAACCAAATTGGAAATTTGGAATTTGTTTTATTATCAATTTCATATTTGTAAAACTTTAACGAATTTTTGATTAACAAACTCAAGGATTTCAAAGCTAGCAATGGTAAGGTTGTACAGAAAAAAAATTTTTTATCTCCAACGTGCGAGTAGATATGCTCATTTTAAAACTATTTTGCGATTTTGCTACTGAACTGAATTTTATGGTTTAAGTGTGAAGAACGTGACATTTAATAAATAAATGTAACACACAAAATGTTTAGAAAATGTCCCTTTGGACATAATTTAAAATCTGAAACCTTTAAGATTTTTTTTTCAATTTTTAATTTTTTATTTACTTTTTTTTTATTTGCTTTTTTTTTACTTACTTTATTTTTTTTTTAATATTTGTGTTGCTGCATCCCTGAAATGACAAGCAGTATAAATCAATTTTCATTATGGGGCTTAAATTTTTCCAATGATCCAAGACAGAATTTTTTATCTTTTAATTTTTCACTTATAAAAGACCAATTATAATGCAACTGACCCAAACTACGGTCAATATAATTATTCTTTGATATGTTTATTTCTTTCTCATTAATTTGTTTTTACTTCTTTGTACGAAGTAAAGGAAGTATTATAAATCTCGAAAAACTTTGGTTATCATATTTCAACAAAAATATCCATTTCAACTGCTTCGAACCATTTTAATGATGTTTCTGCATGACATCTGTACATATGGATAGAATAAAGGACTTTTGCCAAAAAAGATTGTAAAATGGGTTCAGAAGAGGTTTTTTTTCCTTTGACATCTGTACATATTGTATTTACGTAAGTATCTTGCATAACCCAAGAACGAGTAGCCATAGAACATTGAAATTTAAATATGCAACTGCTATAACCATTTAGTTGTGCAACTCATCCTTTCGTTGCAATTGGCTGCACCAATCATATAAAAATATATTTATATATATTCTCACTCTGTTAACTTTCCTGGTGAACATAGTTTTCTTCATTCTTATATGCTAAACTCTGTATTTCTCGCTTTAATAGTGATTGGAATTTTGAGGTTTTTATGTTCCGGTTAAGGTTTTTATGCCTTTAGTTAATCTGCATGCAATAGCTGTAGAATTATCAACAATTTACAACAACAAAGGGGCAAGTCAGGCCTAATGAAACATTTGAAACTGGGCAGAATAGCGAATTCAGTTTCATGCACCTTCGGTGTCTTTTTGTCGAGTGGGAAGAAAAGCATGTTCAGTTTTGTACATCGAGAAACCTGCCTTTTTGCCTGTTGGCTGAATTGCATAGAAACTCTAATTTTAATTATAAAAGTTGTTGTTGTTGTTTTTAACTGTTTTAACCGTATTTGGTGTTTTAAATTTTTCTGTATTTTACAATTTTTTTTAACGAAGACGTTCTGATACATTCTGATAGAGAATCTTCATTTATGTCTTGTGAATTAAAATCCTTAACTTGATTTGGTATACCAACAAGTCATAGAACTCATGTAATTGCATGTAATCCTTAAGGAAATGGCCAAGCAGAGAGAAATAATGGAATCATATGGTAAAACCATCCAGCTGGCACTAAAATCAAAGAAAATGGCTAGCAAATGTTGAAAAAAT